ATCCTTTCAAGGGTGCTGCAGGGCACCACACAATGTTAGTACTGTTAGGTGCGCAAGTATGATTCACAAGATAACCCCAGAGATTTCAAATAGGAATCTATAGCGTTAAAACCATTCTGACCTATTGTGGTCTTTCTGAGAGCTCTTTGCAACAAAAGAATTGCTCTATTATTTTTCTGTAATCAAAAAAATGAGCAAAAGCTAAGAGCTGCCATTTTCTGAGGGGTGCCTTGAGTCTAACAGGGGTGCCTCAAGGCTAAAAAGGTTTAGAACCACCACACTAGTATCATCAGTACCCCTCTACTTTTTGTGCCAGGACCATTAAAATCATGCAAGTCTCTCCCTACCTGAAGCTGCTTCATGGCCTTGCATCAAGTGTCTCTTTGCTTGTAAGGTCAACCAGAACCAAATTTGCAGATGCAGCCCAAGTCAGCAAACCCAGGTGGCCGGAACCCAGCTACAAATGCAGAGAAGAGGGCAGTGATGGACAGGAATAAAACCTGTCTACACAGGGGAGGACATGACCTGTCTCCCAAAGTAAAGTTCTCACCCTTGTGCCTCATTCAGGCCCCTTGTTGGGCACAGGAGGGGCCTTTCCTTGTCCTGGGGAGTGTTTGGCACTAGGGAGAAACGAGCTCAGTCAGAGACACTGTCCTGCTCAATTTCACTAGCTTCACAGCCCCTCCTTGTTCCTGCTGTCAAGCCTGTGGGTGGTCAAGCCCGCTAGGAGAGCAGCATTTTCCTCCCCAATTCAACTACATTTCCCTTTCGGCCTTGAGTCACATCTCCCACTGGGAGAGACCGCGGGGCCTGCAGGCTGGCAGCTCCAAACCTTCCAAGTCCATTACATTTTGCACTCATTGATTTGACATTACTAGGCTCCATGTTGCCTCTCAAGAATTCCACCGCAAGAGGGCTGGCTCCAAAACTGAGGCACCGAACTCAGGGCTAGGGCAGACTCCAGGCACCTAAAAACAAAGCTGTGGCCCAGAACACCCTTGCTCAGTGGCTGCCTGACCTTGACAGCACTTATAACTCGTGGCATCTCCCCGATTTGGTCAGAAAGTTCAGTGGCAGCTCTGTGTAGGCACAGGGCCCATGGGGGGCCAGTTTCCTCACAAGCAAATAGTTGTAGCTGCTTTGTTTTTAAAACACAGCTGCCAGAGGAGGTGGTAGCATGGACCTTTTCTTTATAATAGTATAGTGGTTAGAGCACTCACTCAGTGAGTGTTTAAATCTTACCGCAGCCTGAGGGGATTTTAACCCATATCTCTTCCCACCACCTGCCCCACTGGAGAGTGCTATAACCACCTACCTATTAGCTAGGCAGGATGGGATACCCTCCACCTCTCTGAATGAAAATGGGCCACTCGGTAGCCCAACAACTAAAAGGCAGTCAGCCAGGAAGAGCAAAAAGAGGGAGCCTGGTTTGGTAACCTAGTGATTAAGGCACTTTGCATGAAAGGGATTCTTGGATTCTGGTCCCTGTTTGCAGGACTATTTTTGTTCTTTATCCAATGACTTTTAAATGTAAAATTCATAAACAGAGAGAGAGAATGATTCCATAGCTAAGGAGAGGAAATGTATGATACAGTGTATGGGTGGCTAGAGAGATATGCACCTAGGGCAGGGGTGGGCAAAATGTGGCCCCTGGGCTGGATGCGGCCCGCCAGGCCGTTATGTCCAGCCCATGAGGCCCCTAAAGTATTTAGAAAATTAATATTTATCTGCCCCTGGCTGCCTGTCATGTGGCCCTTGATGGCTTGCCAACTCAGTAAGTGGCCCTCCGCCCGAAATAATTGCCCGCCCCTGACCTAGATTAAAGCCTGGGATATTTCACCTCCAGAAGAAATTTGCTGAGAAAGTTACAAGGAACAGAGCAAAGAACTTTTAAGAAACTTGGAAAGGGAAAATTGCCACATTAGTTACAGGCAAACACAGCCTGAGGTTGAGAATAGATTGTCCTCCACCACCTCAGCAGGCGCTCTGCTGCTGGCAACATGCTAATAACTTTTGATTGAATAATTACCTGTATTGTGCAACCTTAGATCGAGCTGTGAAATGATGTTAGTTTGAGTGACAGTTTCCAGGCTCCGTTAGTGCCTCTGTGACACATGTTTCAGCTGTCAGCTTGCGAGAGGGTTGACACACACTTTTTCTGTATTGCTGTATAGAAAGCTAGACGCTAAAAATAACCCACCCCTGCATGGACAAGTTCGCACTTGCTTGCGTTGCCTTGTAGCTATTTCTGACACCTCCAGTGAATTTGTTAGCAGAGGCAGAATGAAGGACGCCAGCTGATGCATCCAGAAGAGGTCCAGGGAATGGTTTGATGCTGGTAGAGGGGAGATCCTAAGGTGTGTAGATGGGATTCAGTGGCCACGGCTGCATGCCTGGTCTGGAAAGCTTCTCTGCCCTGTAGCTGATTGCCTAAAATGGCCAGTGGGTCCATGCGCCTCTCCCATGGTTAGTATCATCAAGGAGGGGGCACCGTAGTATCCAGCACTGTCTCCTGAAGTGCTCCTCCTAGACTGCGTGGCTGTCTCCCCTTCCTGGTGAGGATCACCTCTAGATAGTCAAAGAACCTCCATAAGCCACCTCCCATCTAATTTGCCAGGCTGCTGACCACCTAGGTGACCAGCTGGTCCTTTTCTTCCCAACCACCTTCCTCGCGGACCATTCCTGCCTGCTAGTAGCTCCAGTCCATGAAGCTGGCTTCAACCTCCTCTCCTCTCAGGATGAGATTGGTGGAAGCACACAGGCTGGTTGTCCTCCCCAGTTCCATCTGCTTTTCCAAGCTCTTCTTAGCAAGCCAGGAGCATCTGGAGAAAAGGAGAAGGCATTCTGGTTTCAGTGCTTGCTACAGATCATGCAGACCCCCAATATGCCACCAATCTTTCCTTGTCACCCTAAGGCCACACAACATGTCAACAAGAGTCACCAGGTCCACTGTCAGGACCTGACCAAGCTGTTCAGTCATTTGGTACTTTCCCACAGGGAGAGTGTCACAACAGACCTGTGACCTTCTCTTCCTCTATGAAGACCCAGAGTGCTAACAGGCCCACCACACATGCAGGTGACATGTAGTACAATAGGACTTCCTGCCCGCCTGCCCCCAAAACCTGGCCAAACAGGTGAAGATGCTAAGTGCAGTGTACACTTGCCTCTCCTCACCCCATGCCAGTGGTGAGAGGCCAAATGAGAATGAGGATAGAGCACAGGTGCCCTCTGCCAGAGAGTGTTGCAGGTTGGGTGGAGACTGAAGAGTGAACTTAAGCCTCTACTTGGCCTTTCTGAGCAAGTGCCTTACTACATCTTCAAAGACATGTGTTTAAGCCTTGCACCAGACTTATGCCAAAGTATACTTCCTGTCCACCAAGCTGTAAATAAGCCCTGGGTTTTTTGGGCTGGGGAGCCAAAAGCAAATGGGGTTGATACTACCACATCACTCCCTTGTGTGTCATTAGCTATGTAAACTGGGGTGCCTTAGCCATGCCAGCCAGCTGGTCCACTTTGGCTCTGGTGGGTCATGGGCATTGCCTGCTTGGGTCCCCTCCCCAAAGGAGAGCTGCCTCACTTTTCTTCTTGCCAGCCTCCATCAAAGGCTCCCTGTGGTATCCATGTAGAGCCATGCAGGCAGCCAGAGAATTAAGTCTAGGGAAAAATGCAGCATCAAGAGGGGATGCAAATGGTCACTTTCAGAGGATCTTGGCTTTGGGGAACTTTCCCAAAGATCAGGAATGGGGTTAGCCATGTCCTTGGGGGAGGTCCCACAGAGCAAGTCTAGAGCCCTGTTGAACTGGAAATGCCATGATAACAACTTTGCTCCTGGGCTTTCAGTGCCCAGACTGGCCCTGGGTGGATGACTGAATCTGGAAACAAGGAGAAAAGGAACAAAATAGCCTCAAACATCTTAAGAGACAAGCTCCAGTGATGGACAAAGGGGAGCCCAACCTGTTCACTGAGCCCAGTACCCTCCAGGAAAGTTCAGGGGCCAGGTCCTCTGCTGGAATGAGTTGGCATTAGCTGCACTGGACTCAGTGGGCGCATCTACATGTGCAATTAATGAACACAAATAAACTCTGGCACTTATTGTTCTGGAGTTTTTTGCTCCCAAGCATGCCATTTAAGCATGCGTCCAGGAGCAAAAAACTCCAGAGCATATTGCTCCTGAGTTTATTCATGCATAGTATGTGAAGCCCCGTCAGAGCAGCCCAGGCTGGCAAGGGACCCAGGGGGTCAGCCTGCCAGCCCAAGGCTGCATGCTTCATGTGCTGTGGAGCAGCTGGCTGGGGCATAGGGTGCTTTAGCATGGGGGCTGACTGCTGGCTAGCCCCATGCTTAAGCACTCTATGCCCCAGGCAACAGGACAGTGTCTATACATGCACTGCTGTGCATGAGAAAATGCCGCAGCAGGGTAGTACTTGTATTTACAAGTGCTACCCTGCTGTGAAGTTTATTAGTTTCATGCACTCTAATAGGGGTGCAAGTGTAGATGTCAACACATTTACTATGCAATTAGTCAACTGCACAGCAAACATCTTGTGTAGACGCGCCCACTGAGGAAGGATCTGACCCAGACCAATCCAGTCCTGGAGGCAGCAGGCTATGTGGTCAGGGAGAAGGTTGGAAGGAAACCATAGCTGTAGAGGGACCCCAAGAGGAAAAGTGGTTTGCTCAGCACCTGTGAATTGGGAACAGATCCCAAGAGCAGGGGTAGCAGGCTGCAGGGAGTACAAAGGACAGCGTGGGATAAGACAAGGCAGGTAGAGAGCGGGACTATGAGACAAAAGGTGCAAGCAGGGCAGAACTGGAGCCGAAATTTGAAGGAGGGGGGACCCTGCAGTTGAAAGGAAAGGAGAAGAGCAATGGGATTAGTGCAACAGTGAAACAAGAACCATCTGAGGGCAGCGTTGGGCTGGCTACAAAGGGCAAGACAGGCCCAGACCAGGCTTAGCAGGAGAGCAATTTGGTGACCTGTCGGGTTTGTCTCCCTGCAGATTTACCTGTCCTGGAAAAGTGGCCCTGGTGAGGTGAAGCACTGGAAGGACATGATTGCCCATCCCCGGCAGGCCGTGGCACAGTGGCACCAACTGAAGGCCTGAGTGGCAGCGGCCAAGGACTCTGTCTGGGTTCCACCGCTCCGAGTCAACGTTTATTGGCCATGCTCTCACCACTTTATGCACAACCAAGGTGCCCAGGCCTCCCTCATGGGGAAGAGCTCGGGCCTGATGAGGAGCCAAGGGACTGAAGCTGGCGACGTTTCCAAACTCTGGGAAGCGGCGTTGGCGCCCGCCACGCCCCATGGGCACATAGCCCCACCGGGAGCATCTTTACTGCCCAACTTCCTGCTTTAGCCTTTCCTTTTGACTCGTAACGTGAAGAGAGAGTGAGAAAGAGAGAGAAGAGACCCCCAAGCAGCCCTTTCAGAGGGCAGGAGCCTGGGTGCTGGTTTGTTTTAGCTCATGGAGGCAGGGAGGGGCAGAGAAGTGGCATTGGCGCGTCTGGCTCCATGAGGCGGCAAGAGGAAGAGACCTCCAACAAGTTCTTCCAGCCAAACACCTGTTGGGAGTGCTCCCCTGCTCCATTGCGAGAAAGCCGGTGCCCCCTCAGCCTGTGGAGGTGGGCTAGTGACCTCCATCTCCTTGAGGTCATTTCTTTTTAATTCAATAAAACTTGTAAGAGTAATAAGAATAATATAAGTAATAGCGGCTAGAGCCTTCGTCCCGGCCGGGGGCGGGGGAGGAGCTGCACTGCTCCAATGGCCTCCTGTGCATTTGCTGTGTCCTTGTAAGCGTGTTGTAAGTGTCACACGTGTGTGTGCAGGTTGCTCACATCTCACTCTTTCTCTCTCTCTCTTTCTCTCTCTCTACCCCCACCCTGACCTGCGAGGTGATCCCAGATCGTGTTGGAAGGCAGTGGTTTCACTGCAGATGTCTTTTTTCCCTTCAACTGGCCGGTGGGTGAGGCTGAATGGAGAACTGATGCCACAGGGGAAAGAGAGAGCGGGGTTGGTCTCTGCCACCATCAGCCCCATCAGTGCTCAGCAGGGAGAGAGAGAGGGAGCTGCAGTCTCCTCCAGCCACTCAGTGGCACGTGGGATTGGAAGCCATGACACACAGGTTGTTAGCCAAAGTGGACTCATTTTTAGGGCTAGTGAAAGCTTAACTTTAGTCGCCCCCTTCTCTGGTTGACGAGATGTGAAAGGAAAGTGCCCAGCTCTCCAGCACCACCTGAGAAAAGTTCATCCCCTCCTGTTCCTCCACCCAGCTACCAGACAACCCAACCCCAAACAGTCCAATCCCCAGTGTCTAAACCAACCCTGCTGCCCACCCAGCTACCAACCCTGCCTTCACTCCAGTGCAAGGTGCCCACCGCCCTGCCAGAACTGAGCTGCCCCTCCAAAGCCCCTTTGCCCACCTCCAAAGTCCCTCTTAGTTCCCAACCAGCACCTACAGCCCCCTCCACTCAAGCAAAAATTAAGGATGCTGCGTGCAATGGGGCAACTTCTTCTCCCTGTGTAGGAGCTAGGTTTGGCCACCCTTCTAAATCAGGTCATGGCACCCCAGCAGGACAATTAGATGTGAACTGGGAGTGCCATGGTGGGGCTGAAGTAGCAAGAGCCTACTTATAGAATCACTGTTCGGGACACCTCCCCATAGAGATCCATTCAGCCTAAGCATCACCCAGACCCTCCATACCCACTGGGGAGGCAGTTCAGCACCAGGAACCACCTGCAGAATTGCCAGGGAACAAAAACAAGAAGCAGTTTCTGAGCCTGGGCATGGACAAGACAGGGATGGTGCTCTGAGAGCAGAAAGACAGGGATGCTGCCAAAACAGCAGCCAGGCCAATACCTGTCAAGCCAGGAGATGACCAGCCTTTCTGGTTTTACCCTGCCCTGTGATCAGGAGTTGAGCCTGAGCACAAGCATTCCAGAGATGCTGCTACACTACTGTCTGCAGCACCCAGTGCTGGAAGATGCTGGCTCTAGCCTTACTGTTGAATGCTCCGCAGCCAAGGCTGCTGCCTCCTCTCCTCCAGCATGTTGTGCTAGGGTTGTTTGGCATGTGCTGAGGCCCACTGCCCCTGCAGCATCCCTTGCCAACCCCTATATGTTGCCCACCCTTGGCACTAAGTCCACAAACACCTCCCTGACTAACAGGCCCCTCCCAGTCCCTGTGGAGCTGCAGTCAGTCACAGGATGCCCCTTCCAGCTCCAGGGGGTGGACATCCCCCGCTATACAGCTAGCCAGGCTGTTGCTCATCCTATCTGCTGTCCAGGGTGAAGGTGATGCTTGGCACTAGGAGCTACTGAGCAACCAGTGACAGTTGTGCTAGGCAAGTAACACTTGATTGAATGCCAGGGGCCAGTCTCCAAGAGCTGGCTCTGGATTTGTTGGGCAGTGATAAAACCAGAGGTTATTGCATGTCTGCCAAGTGCCCACCAGATGGCGCCCTTGTACCATAGTCAGATCTGCACTGGGGCACTGCAGCAAGCCATCCTGAATGGGACAGGATTTAAATTTTTCTTTAATGAGATTTCAAGTCCATCCCGTCTGGCAAGAAGGGTTGCTGGCCAGGCTTAGCCAGGCAGTGTCCCAGAGCCTGCCACCTTGCCAGCTGCCCTCAGATCTGAACAGGGAGCTGCACACTGAATTCCCACCTGGGCAGACACAGCTCAGTTCCTCAGACTGTGTGAAAGGCAGGAGACCAAGCAGTATCAACCTGGCCTTTGCTTGCCCTCTGGCCAACTCTTGCTCCTGCTCAATGGGTGTGACATCGGTTATGGGATCCTGCAGCCCTGGCTCATGGAAGGAAGGGAGGCCCTTAAGAGAGAAACCCAGAGGGAAGAGAGATCCAGGGGAGAAGAGAGAAAGCCCTTGCAAGGAGAGGCCCAGGGCCCTGAATGGGTGGGCTGCATGGTGCCCTGGCAACAAAGACAGGATTCATAAGGAACAGAGTCCGGGGGGGGGGGCATTGCCATTGATATGTAGGGATATAGGAGCCAGGGGTGAGAACCTGGGGGTGTGGGGGAGAGGTCAGGGTTGTGCAGTGGAGTGATAACTGGGAGTAAAAGTGCCCAGTGGGGCACTGGGGCTGATAGGTAGGGGCAGAGGTCTTGGGGTAAGCATTGGGGCTGTCAGGTGGGGTAGCAGGCCTGGGGGAGTGCACTGAGGTTGATTAGTGGGGCCAGCGGGTGTGGGGAGGGGCTCGTAGGCTGATCTGTGGAGTTGTGCCTGGCTGGCTGCTGGGGGAATGAGTGGAGGGGTGAGATGAGTTATGGGGTGCCCAGGTGCTTGGGGTAGATAAATGTTTGAGCTGCTATGTGCCAAGTATGACCAGAGTACTAGTCAGTAGTGTCTCTTCCCCTTTCTCCATTGCTGCTCCCCACCCCTGCTGCCGCCCCATGCTGGCCAGATTCCAGCGGGAACTTCAGGAGCTGAACAGCCCTTGGCCTCATGGCCTGGGAGGACTGTGGAGGGATGCTTATAGCAACCAGTGCCTCACACTGGCTGGGATCTCAGTGGAGTTGCCAGGTGAGGGGGAGCTTCCTCAGCCCTGCCTTTAGCAAAGTCCAGTCTGCCCCATGACAGCCTCAGCACAGTCTGGCCTGGCCAGGGGGTGAGAATCATGCAGGTGTGTTTCCCTGCATGACTGCAGCACCTATTCAGTTTCCTGGTGAAGCTTTATAACCTCTTATGGCTGGGGAGATCAAGGCAAGAGGGGACACTGGGTCCATCCATGGTGGAGATCATCAATGCCAGTTTCCTTCTAGTTCCACCCTTGCTTCAGGCTTCAAGTCTTGACATTGTTATTCTCAAGTGGTCTCCAACTGTATGTGGCATGGAAATCACACTAGGTTTGTGGCTTGATCTCCTAATGAGGGACAGTGCCAGGTACATACTGTGCTCCTTTGCAATCTGGCAGCAACCTCTGGTACTGCAGACCAAGAGGTGCAGTTGATCACAGCTAGGGCTAATGCGATGGCTCTTATGTGGAGCCTGGCAGTAGGCAATTGCTTGACTGACCCAAGAGCACATGCAGGTGGGGCACTGCAAAATTGCAGTAGGTCACTCCTACTTAAATTTGTTACAAGATGGGCCACCGTGGTATTGTTACACCGTTGACACAGCGTTTTCTGTGACCCGACCAGTAAAGTCCTGTTTGGACGTGCTTTCAGATCATTAGTCTTCCCTGAAATCTCAGACCTCGCTGGTAGCCTAACACATCTGTTATTCTTCTGCCTGTGGTAAGACAATTGGGGCTATCTTAATTGGACTTGGACAGGTTTTCTAGCATTTATAGTCTCCAGACTGGGCTAGTGCAGTGCCATTTCTATTGAAGATCATCTGGACACTACAGCTGGGGTGAATATGGCTGCTTGCTTAATTAGCTAGGTTGGGCCCAATAAGAACATCACACTTGTTCTTCCAGATTCCTATGAGCCCCTCAGTGTGATTCAGGGTGTTGACACTGATCTTTAACTCCCAACCTGGCCTAGACCTTGGCTCCCTGCCAGAACCAAGAACATTTCCTTGTGCACCATTATGTCACTCCCAGGTCGCTCGTGAGCTGAGAACATCTTGCTTAGGATAAAGGGCATTCTCAATGGAGGGCACTCAGAATTCACTTCCCTTTCCATCAGCCCAGCAGAAACCAGGGCATTTCACCCTTTGGGCTTGATGCACGAACCATCTACTCTCTCAGGCCCTTCCTGAGTGGGGGTGGCTCTTAAGTGATGTACAGTAGTTAGTCTATTTTTAGGGAGTAAGAGTCTTCTATTCTGTTGATGTAGTTGCTGTGTGATGGTATTTTTTTCTAAACAATGTACAGGCGCCTAGTAACATTTGTGATAGGCACGTTTTTACCGGTGTAACAATAAATAGTTGGGAAGGCTGGGAGAAGGCTCCAGAGTAATGTGGGGGAGAGATCTCATTGGAAGGGTCGATGGGTTTTGCGTTCTTTCTTGTTCCCCCATGTTGTGGCATCACTTCTTCTCAGCTGAGCCATTTCTTCAAAGCCTAGAGGAAGTTTTGATAGATTTATTTATTGGGGGGGGGGGGGGGGGGGGAAGGAAGAAAAACCATTACCAAGAGAGAAAGAGATGGGGAGAAGCCATTTAGCCATCTGACCCATTAGGTGAAATAGTTACTGACTTATTAAAGAAATTAAAACCAAAACTGTATTGACAGGGGCAGGGCAACCGCGTCTTTTTATTTTTTGTGCTCTGCCCCTCAAGCTCTCAGCCAATCAGATGCAAGGAAACTTTCTAGAGGGATTCTTTTTTGGAAAGGGGGACTTTCATGTCAAACAAACTTGAAAATACATAACTTCCTGTCTCAGTATTTGGTGTGATCTGTGGTTAAGCAAGACATTTTTTTTTTTTCCTTTCAGTCTTTTTTTTTTTTGCCTCTCCCTGAGCCTTCAGGAGAGTCAGAGCTAGAGCTAGTCAAACTATGTTATGAGTAATTTTTGTTGTAAAGTTAGCTGCTTCTTAGAGTTAGCCAATTGTTCATGAACTACATCCTCATAGCTTCTGAAGTATATGTTGCTCGTAAGGATTCACCATCGCTTGGATAATTAGCAGACTGCCTCAACTCCTCTCTGTTATTCGGTGTGTGTAATTGGTCACCTAAATCGCATGATAACTGTTTCTGCTTCACTGATTGAATGACCAAAACACTTTCAAGAGAAGAAAAAAATGAATAAATAAACTTCCTTGGATGTATTTCTGCACCACGCTGTGCTAAAATTGGCCTTTGACCAAACACAAATTATGGGTAATACAACACCATGAATCAGAGTGAGCTGAATTGGTCTCTTTTAGTCCCAAAAATATCCAAGAATCAGGGTTTGTTTTTTCCAGTTCTACCAGCTCCAGTCATAACTCTGCCTCTGTGGCATCACTGGCTGAACTCATGCTTACAGTTGTGATGCCGCAAGGTTGCTTTCACTGGACAGCGGAAAAAGCAAAGGTGCAGGCTTCTTATTCAAGTCTCAAAGAGCCCTCACAATTAGGTCTAGGAAAAGCCACAGGACTCTCCACTATGAATGAGAGACAGGCATGGAAATTCAGGTCCCTATTCCACTCAGACACTTAAGCTCATGCGTAGCTCTCAGCGTGTGTGTAAATTCATGGGGAAAAAGTGCATATGCTTAAAAGCTGGTTTGGCACCACAGTAGAAATAACAGTCACAAATTACGGAGGTATTCTGGGTCCAAAATAACCTTTATTGTCCCCATTTTCGTGCAAGGAACTTGTTTGGGATGTGATAGCAAAGGCCAGTTTTGCCCAGAGCCACAGTCACATCACAGCCAGCCTAAGCCCAACCAGTTGACTTTGGGAGTTAAAGTCATCATCTGTGGAGGAATGAAAGTGAGATCAACGCTGTGGGCTGTGTGTCTTCTGAGAGTCACTGCTCAACTCTGGTCTGAACTATGACTCTGCAGCTCCCAAGAGTCTCAGTCAAACTGATTCATCTCTTCCCAGCACACCAGCCAACCCAGCCCGTGCAGTCGGGATGAGGAACCGAGACTCCTGAATTCTATTTCCACTTCCACCGTGGATTCACTGGATGACACTGAGCAAGTCACTGCACTCAGATACGACGCCGTTTCTTCCTCTGTAAAATGGGGATAACAACACTTATGATGTAGGGCTGGACTCATGAAATACAGAGAGATACTTTACAGCGAAGGGCCAGGTATAATCCATGCCACTGAAATCACGACATCTGTTCTTCCCGTGTCAGCCATGTGAAAAACATCAGCTAATGCCCCAGGAAGATGTAACACTATGAAAGCAATCTGATTATGCATCAAACCGAAGTTTTGCCTGTGATTGAACGTCCCTCTTCAAAGTGCTGGACAATCTTGACAGAAGTAATAATAATAATTTTAAGAATATTTGTATTTTTATCATATTCTCTCTTTTTTTATATAAAAGAAAGAGATTTATAAACCTGGTGGAGGAGGGGAAGACAAGCTGAATTGCTTTAATCTGGACTGGCAATGGCAATGGTGGCTTTCACTGGCTCATGACAGGTTGGGTAGTGGCATAGAGGGCACAATATTTGCTGTTCATTTAATCAGGCAGTAGGAGTCTTATGGTTAGAACAGAGGGGAGTAGGAGCCAGGATTCCCAGGATCTATTCTTGGCTCTGCCACTGACTTGCTGCATGACTTTGGGCAAGTCACTGAACCTTTCTGTGCCTCAGTTTCCCCACTTGTAAAAATGGGGATAATAATTCTTCCCTACCTCACAGGGAGGGTTGTGAGGCAAATCTGATCAGCCCCAGACTCTGATCCCCTTACTCATGCTGAGTAGCCGCAGGAAGTCCCATTGATGTCCACGGCATTTTTATGGGGTGAGGTGCTTATTCCACACAAGCTAGAGAATCGGAATCTGGCCCCACATCCCGGCAAAGCCTTTGGAGATCCTTCAATGAAAGACTCTGTAGACCTGCAAAACACCACTTTTGACCGAAAGGCCTCCTCACCCACATTCCCTGTGGGTTATCAGCTGGGGATAACTGCCCTGCCCTTCCTCCCCCAGGAGTGGTTTCTTTTGTATGATTGGATTTATGGGAGTTGTGTGTTCATTTTTAATTCTAGAGCTCTTAGCTGTATCTTGTTCAGGTATCTCTTCTTCATGTGATGATAACCATCTAACTGGTATAGAAAATACAGGAAAAAAGAAAAAAAAAGACTAAACCGTAGACGACTTATTTGCTAGCAGCAGTGACAGCAGCTTGACTAGATCCTGCTGCCACCTCATTTCTGTCGTGTTTGGTTTTAAAAGATGTTAAATTCATTGGGCTGACGTATTTTATAATAAAACAAATGGAGAAAACACACACACACACACAAATAAAAGGAGGAAAATTAACACTGCTATTAAATAAAAAGCCAATGTGATTTCATCATCTCGGATGTCTACGAGGTAGGAGCGATTTCTTTGCAGAATCATATTTTTGGAGAACTGGTCCCTCAATTTGTGGAGGAGGCCCCTGTTCTGAATAATAAAGGATAGTAAATAACTCCTGTCTCCGGGTTATTCATTATACACCTGCCAGGGAGGCAGGAGGATGAGGAGGCATCAGCCTGACAGCAATTTCAGCTGTCCACAGAAATGGTGACAAAGCCTGCCAGGACACGGCACAGCTATGTCAAAGGGATCGGTGAGGCTACACTATTAGGCGACCTAGAGTACTGTGCAAAATCCACTTCCTTTCCACAGTGAGTATCAGCTAAGGCAAAGAGGAGTCAAACTTGTCCCTCTTCATCATAGTCCCGATCCAGATGTAGTGGCAAAGGCAGGGCAAGCAGGGGTGGCAGCACCAGGGTTAGCACCCATTGCTTGCCCCTCAGTATTATGCACCCCAAAGGGCTCTGTACCCTGGATTTTGGCAGCAGGCCCTGCCCAGACTCACCCCACCCCCAAATTCCCAGCACCTCTGAGAGCCCCATGCACCAGAGAGACAGCTCCTCATCCTGTACTTTTGACACACCTGAGCTAAAGGAACAGCTGTGGTACCAAGATGTAGTGGCCGTCTAGCTTAGACCCACTACCTCCCATAGATGGGGAAGATCAAGATGGGGAAGGGTCCCTGCCTGCCACTTCCTTACATTTTTAATGAATGTAAACTGCCCCCATTTTCAACAAACCCCATTGATCTGGTTTCCTTGCTGACCAGGCTAGTTCCTCTGTGTTCCTATAGCATCTACCTGTCCATGCATCTGACCCCCGGCAGCCAGTCACCCTGCAGATGAAATACTGCCTTCACCCTGGTCTGCTATAAACCTGTTTCTCTTTGGGTTTGTGAATAAGCTCCACCCACTCACTCCTGCTCCTTGCTTGTCCACCCAGGAAATGAAGTGGTGAGGACACCCTAGGATGCAAACCCCAGCAACATCCATAAGACCTGATTTTTTGACACAAGACACCCAGTGCCCTCACCACAGGTGAGTGGTAGGGGTGGCACATGCCCCCCCTCCCGAGATTGGCTCCCGACTCGGCACCGCTCAGGACGGCAAACCGCAGCCCCAAGAGCCAGGCACAGAGGCTGCAGCTCCTCCTGCAGTGCCCGTGGTAGCCGCAGTTGAGGTTTGGGCCCACCCTGCCACCCAGGGGGTGGAGGTAGCTTTACCTGTGTTCTGGCCAGAGGTCTGCAGTTTGCCGGGCTGGCCACTTCTAGTCCGCAGTGTGCCCTCCCTCCCCGATTCAGGAGGCACCAGTCACCCCTGGTCCTCACTGCAACATTTCTTGGGCTTGACCTATGAAGAGCAGGAGAGGATGGGTGGATGGGCTTTATTTCCTTAGTATCATGATTGAGCAGAGTGATAAACCAGTGGTAGTCAACCTCCAGCCTGCAGCCCAAATCCAGCCCACAAGGGTGTGTCATCTGATCTGCAGAGCTCCCCCTGAGGCCAGAAATTTGGCAATGGGGGAGCAGTGGCAGCATTAATTTCCATGGCTTCCGGAGAGATAGCAATTAATAGTGACACCACTCCCCTGTTGGCCAATTTCCAGCCCGGTGGGCCAGATGGCACAGCCCTGCACCATTCATCCACCATGCAGATGGCCCTGTGCCATGCATCTGGCCTGCGGGGACAGACAGTTGAGCACAACTGGTATAGACATCATCATACGGCCTCGAACCTTGGCAGAACAGCCATTCGTCAGTCTTCTAAGCCCCTTTCTGCACCATGGAGAGAAATATTTAGGGAGATGGAAAGAGGAAAAATGTTGGAGATAGCTTTAGAAGCGTTAGAAGAAGAGCAGGATGGCTGGGAGAAGGAGAGATGATTGGTTTGGGGAGCTGTACAGAGGGAAAGGAAAGAGCTCTTCAGCCTGTGGGCCACACTCTGAATGCCTGTAGAGAGCCCAGCATGCTGCTGACACTATATACAGAGTACTAGTAACAAACAAGAGCAGCATTGGCTGGAAAAACTAAGTGTATCCCTCCTGTCCTTTGCTTACCCTTCAAGTCAGGTTTTTATGTTGAACTCTGGGGACAAAGAAAGCTTCACTCCCTGATTCCACTGGGTACCAGGGAAGAGAAAGCTTACTGCAAGCAGAAACACTGAGACCTATTGCTTAGCCCATAATCTACTGCAGCAAAACAGGCTGCCCTCATTGGCACAGCAATTAGCAATTTTGTTCCCACTTAGGCCCCTACTAGACAACCGTATGTTTGCAAGGAGCAGATGGAAATGACAGTCTGCTCCAAACAACTGTGCCCCTTCTCAGCACGCTTCAAACAGACCACAAAGCAAGGCACCGTGTCAATAACAACCAGCACTCCAGCAAGCTGTAATGCAGATGATTTGCAGATGATTTTATGGCTTTCTAGCACCCAAAGTGGGCTGGAAATCTGCTAGTGGCTCAGGAGCATGAAAGATTCAGAGAACTTGTAATGCCGATGCTTTCTGGATCCAACAGAACAATACCTGAAGAGGAAAAGCGCTGCTACTGTAGGTGAGACAGAGATGGAGAGAATGTCGAGGTAACAGAAATTATTATAATTAATGTGAAGCATATGTTAGATGTAAAACCAATCCAGTTTTGTTAGACTGCCCAGTGGTGTTAGACCCAGTGGTGCTCAACGTTCTGGCTCTGTGGGCCAGATGAATGATACAGGGCCAGTCCATGGGTTTGATCATCCCCTGTTCACCAGGTTTATGCCCTGTGCTGCCTCTACTTGGGCCCACATGCTGGGATTGGGGCCCCACACCACCTCTACCCAGCCCCACATGCTGGGATCAGGCCCCAAGGCCTTGCACTGCCTCTGTCCAGCCCCAGTGCCCTGACGGCTCCGGGGCCCTGCCCAACCTCCACGTGCCAGGATCAGGCCATGCACTGCCCTGCAAGTCTAATCTGGTGCTGAGGTCCGGATCTGGACTACGCAAGAAAAGAGGAAGAAACCTGAGGCACATGAAGAACATGTAAGTAAATTCAAGCAGTTAAGTGCTCAAAGGAGAAAGAAGTAAGTTAGAACGCAGACAAGTGTCCATTGCCAAAGACATTTAAGCGAGGCACAGCAACTTCATCCAAACCACTTTTCCTCAGCACAGAAATTGTGCAGGAAGGAGCCACACTAATGCAGAAATTATGCATGGTGTAATAAAAGGAATTGCTTTTCTCAGGCCTGCAAATCTGACACAGACAGAGCCAGGCTTGTCATTAAGCCACAGGTGACAGGGAACAGCATTTCTGACAGCAATGAGCTTTTGATTTATAGTCGGCAATAACAGTGCTTGAGAAACAAATAAATTATGTCCGAGCCAAGCATCTACTGATCTCTCATTAGGCTCAAAAACATAGTATGTAAGGTTTAACCTTTGTGACAGAGCCCAGCAAATTAAAAATCTTAGCATACACTGTAAAGCATCATCAAGCATCTGACAGCTGTGGAGGGTGGCCTTGTCCAGCACAAACTACTGTGGGGACTGTACCTATAAGTGAACCTTTGTGATGGATAAAGAAGCTTCAAAACATCAAGGTTTTATTTTCTTTAGGATTTTTTTTCTGCTTGGGTTTTATTTTGGGGGGAGGTGGGTTTTTTTGGGGAGGTTTTGCTTATTTGTTTTGGAGGGCATTTTTTTTTTTTTTTAATATTAGGACTTCAGAAATATACAACTCCATCGTGATCAGAAAGTAAACCTGGAGAGTGAAAGGTGAGAAAGGACCTGATCCAGAAATCACTGAAGTCATTCTCCTCATTTGAATGGGCCTTAGATCAGGCCCCCAGTAAGAGAGGAACGAAGGATATTGAGTTAGGCTTTTCAAAACATGTTAGTTCTATTACTACTCCAGTGTCTAACAAACAGGCCGGAGCGAGGACACTGTTGAAGATTCCCCTTTCATTAAAGTGTGAGAATGAAAAATAGACATTCTCTATCTAATCTCCAGCAAGACCAGAGTTGGCATTC